AGGACGGGCAGGGATGGTGAGAACAGAGGGTGGGGTCCTGGATGGTGGACGGTGCACAAGGGGTTGAGGGAAGGACGCCCAGGGAGGTGGTTTTCTTCCTTTCTTAAAGGACATCGAGGACTCAGCCTCTGAAGCAGCGGGAAGGGTGGAGGTGCTGTCCAGAAGAGGGGACATGGGGGCTCACACCCTGTGGGTGGACGAGCCCAGCAGGACCTCACTTCGACCACCTGTGAAAGGAGCGGCGAGGCGCTCCGCCCACAGGAGGTGAACTGTAAAGGAGGTGGTGGACCTACAGCGCATGCGCCAAGCTTAGACCGTGGCTGATGCGATGGATTCGCCCGCTACCTGCAGGGCTTCAGGCAACACGGGGACACGGGCTCTTGGCTTCTTCTAGCACAGAACGGTGGTTCCTCCCCCATCAGGGTCTGCTGTGAGAAACAGAAATCAGAGATGGGGATTCCTGCGCTTGGGTGGGAGCCCACAAGGAGGTCATCATGGGGAGGTCCCAGCTCCCTGTTCCTCCCGGGTGTGGTCTCTATACAGGTGCCAAAGGGCGGAGAGCAGCGCTGTTCCATACAACCTCCGGTGGGAAGGAAGTGCTGTATATCTGCGCCATCCAGTGAGGCTGTCATTACCCAGGTGTGGCCACTGAGCCCTTGCAATGTGGCTGCTGCAGCTGAGGATCTGACTCTTAAATTTATTTAACTTCTATTTCCATGGAAACAGTCCCGTGTGGGACCATAGGGGACAGCACGGACGTAGAACGTTTCCATCCTCACGGAAAGTTCCACTGGGCAGTGCTGCTCTAGAGGGAGCAGGTGGAGGTCCCAGAAGCAAGGAAGACCCCTTGAGGGGTCCCGGAGACTCAGTCTTCCCTGTCCAGCTCAGGCCTCTGACCCACGTCCTCCTGATTCCTCATTCCTAGGAATCACACAGACAAGTTCGCATGATGGTGACAATTGCCATAAGTGGTGGGAACAGAGGAGCATGGACCTGGTGTGTGCCTCTTGGGAAGGGGGAAAGAATGGCCTTTAGTATTGATCATATTCCAGCTCTGCTGATGCCCTGTGGACAGAAGAATTCAGCATTCAGGACCCCGGTTTTGTAAATTGGGGATAACGATTCCCATGTTGCAAGTCTGTTACGCATGTGAGAGATTTTATATATAAGCACCCAGCATATGTGTGGTGTGCAGTAGGTGCTAAATAAATGCATGCTGCTGATAATCTGATTTCATCTTCCATGCTCCCCCAGGCCTGTCGACAGAATATATTTATATTCTCATTGGGGTCTCTGTGGCCTTTCTCATTTGTCTCTTCCTCCTGGTCATCTTCTTCCTCCATCGTCAGCATCAGAAAAAACTTGGTAGGTCTCAGGGAGAGGGTGGGGTGAGCTGGGCAGGCTGTTTGGGGTGCTGGGAAGAGGGCCTCTCTTCTTAATTCACACCTCTGACTGTCCTCAGGGCTCCCCAGCAGCAGAGGCAAGGAGCAGAGGCCCCAGGAGAGGTGAGGCCCCTGAGAATGACCCCCCGAACCCTCCCAGTCCTCTGCCTCCAGGCTGCCCCCCAGTGCTCACTTGTTCTTTCCACTCAGGCTCAGCCCAGATGCTGACATCCTAGAGAGGACACCAGGTAAATATGAAGAGAGGGGACAGGCCTGGGAGAGGGGAAGTGAGGACTTGGTGCCATTCAGGAAGCAATGGGGGGAGGGAGAATGTTTGAGAACATTCTGGGGTGTCCTAGCTGGGGTGTGGGATGAAATCTGAATCTGTGAGGTTTCAGGCAAATTTGCCTTCTAAGGTCCACCCCAGAGAACTGACCACTTGTCCTCTCCCCTCCAGATCTGGCCACAGTCGATAGTCTTGCTGAGAAGGACAGGAAAATGCACAACTCAGTAAGTCCTTGTGGTAGTTACCTACTGCTGTGTAACAAAACAACACCAAATTTAACAGCTTAACAAAATTATCTCAGTTTCTTTGGTCAGGAATTAGAAAGTGGATTAGCTGGGTGGTTCTGACTCATGGTCTCTCATGAGGTTGCTGTCAAGACGTTGACCAGGGCTGCATTCATCTGAAGCCTTGACTGGGGCTGGAAGATCCACTTCCAAGATGGCTCACTCCCACGGCTGTGGGCAGGGGGCTTCATTTCCCCACCACATGGGCTTCTTCATGGCAGCCAGCCTCCCCTAGAATGAGGGATCCCAGAGAGGGAAGGGGAAAAGCTACAATGTCTTTTGTGGCCTCACCTTGGAGGTGATGTGCCCTCTTCTGCCATATTCTGTGGGGTCCCACAGACCAACCCTGATTCTATCTAGGAGGGGACTACAAATGATGATTCCAGGAAGTAGACCATGGGGGTCACCTGGAGGCTGACTACTACAGTCTTCCCTTCCCACAACCTCCTACCCCCACCTCAGCCATCCAGACTCACCCTGGGTCTCTCTCCCCCAGACCTCTGCTGCAGGAGGCCTGCAGGAGGTGACATATGCGCAGCTGGACCACCGGATGCTCACACAGAGAGCGGCCCAAGCCATGACCCAACAGTCCACGGAGCCCACGGCTGAGTCCAGCACATATGCAACCCTTGCCAGACACTGACCCCAGGCCCACCTGGCCTCTGCACCTAAAGACACAGCAAGTCACTCTTGCAAAAGCCTGAAGTGGCCATTTGGAGGGCTACCCTATGGAATCATCCTTTTCTGGAAAGTCATCCAGTCAATTCTCCTGGAGGCAAGAGCTGGAGTCTGGAGACCCCTAATCAACATCTAGGAGATTCATTAACCATGTGGTACCCCCTTTAATCAACTAGCTTATTGGAGAGAACATGCAGCACTTGTTTCCAGAGACACAGCTGTAGTCGCTTGGCTTTTTCCAGAGACACAGCTATAGTCCTACAGTCGCCCAATGATTCCAGATGTGTCTTATGAATCCCCAACTGCCCCTAGAGACTCTGTTTTAATTGTCTGCTCAACTGACTCTAAAGACTTCCTAGAGTTCAGATGCTCATCTTGAACCTGGGCTGTACTTATGCAGCTGATAGCTGAGACCCTGTTTTATGGATTATGCTCCACTTTGCTCATCAATAAATGTTTTCACAGGCCCAGCTACAGCAGCCCAGTGTGAGGAGCTGGGGTACACAGGTAGCTTGGTCCCAGTCTCTGCTTCCACAGTAGCTCAAAACTTAGTGAGGGAAACAAGACAGCAAGGAAGGCAGCAGTGTTTTCTGATCTGAGGGTCTCGGGGATGAATGGGGAGATGTCTGAGGGGATGTGTGGCCAGGTGAAGGCTGTCTTGACATGAGTACAGCCACGTGTGGCCGTTCCCTTGACCTACAGCCACGAGCACACAAAGAAATATAAAGCTGCTTTCTGTGTGGTGGGAACTGGCCCTTCTCCCCGGAGATAGTTGCAATTTGTAACATTACAAGGCTCTTTGGGCGTCGTATCTCAGGACGGACTGGCCATCTGTGCCAGGCTGGGATGATAACCAGGGAGCACAATGCATGTACACAACTGCTGGGCTGGGATGATAGCCAGGGGGCTCAGTGCACGTACTCAGCTGATAAGCATTTGTGCGTGGGAACACTAAATGCTTGCTCTGCAAACTCTGTAACTGCTTACTCTGGAAATTACTGATGCTATATAAACTGCTGGAAACTGAGGCCTGGTGAGAGTCTCACCTGTGGAGGGGACGCCTTGCCCAGGACCTCTGGTGATCAGATTCTTGCCTAGCCATGTCAATTGAAGGGAATCTCCCCGGCAGTGGGGCATGGATGTTGTGAGTAACCAATCTGATGTGTTTTCTTTTCGGTGAACCTGGTGTTTCTCTTTCCAGTTGATTTGTGTCATTTCCCTTCAATCGATTTGGTGTTTCCCTTTCCGATTGATCTGATGTTTTTCCCTCTTATTATATGACCTATTCAAATCTGCTGCTATCTCAGTCGATTTGGTGTTTCCCTTTCTGATCGATCTGATGTTTTTCCCTCTTATTATTTGACCTATTTGGATCTGTTTGCAGACTATTGCCTTTACTCTCCTCTTATGATAAAATATACCTTCAGTCTATTTGTTTGGAGCAGAAAGTTTCTTTTATGTCTCCAATCGAATCCCCCGAACCTCTCAAAACAAAGGCACAGAGCATACTCTTCTGCCCACCCTCACACACATGCACACACCCATGAATGCACCCATGCACACACACATGCACACACACCCACACACATGCACACGCTGTATAAATGCGTATGTGCAAGCATGCACCCATGAATGCACCCATGCACACAGGCATGCACAGGCACACACCCACACTCATGCAAATACTGTACAAATGCATATGTGCATGCATGCACCCATGAATGCACCCATGCACACACACATGCACAGACACACACACATGCACACACTGTACAAATGCATATGTGCATGCACGCACCCATGAATGCACCCATGCACACACACATGCACAGACACACACATGTACACACTGTACAAA